GTCGTGCCAAGGTTGAAACCAGGTCCTCCATCGACAGCTTCTCCCTCCGCCCTCCATCCACCTTGGCTCGACGCGGCCTCCCCAACCTCGTCCTCCCCAGTCGCGAACTCTTCTTCCTCCTCTGCGATGGGAGGCAGCGACTGGGGCAGGGCGGTGGGGGCGGCAAGTACGGATTGCCAGGCGAAGTTGCGAGTTGTGATCGCTTGGCGGTTGTCGTTGAGGATGCGCCCGCAATCACGGTTGGCGTTGATTCCCGGGCCGAGGTAAAAACACGTTTGGGCTTTCGGCTCGGACTTTTGCGTGCGCTTGACCTTGTATACGGCAGGTTTGAGGCACGGGTACGTCGCCCCCGGCGGGGGAGGGTGCCCGTGCCACATCTCGTACGGCGACTTCTTCTCTGGGTTGGATGTGGTGGAGGTGCAGTTCAGGGCGTTGCATGACCAAGCTATGGCCTCGGCCCAAAGGGATGGGTAGTTCGGTGCTCCGGGGTAAAGAGTTGGCGCTTGGATACGGGCGGCTAGTGCTGCATCCTTGATCAGACCCAGTGTTCTCTCAGCTACCCCGTTGTATTCCGGGCTGTGTGCGGGGATGAACTCCTGTTTGATGCAGTACTTCCGGCACACCTTGCCGAACTCTCCTGCGTTGTCAGATCTCACGACCATGACATCACACGGGGCACCGTCTGCCCGCTTTCCTGCAAGGTACCTCTCGAATGTCTCAGCTGCGTCTGATTTGTGCTTCAGGAAGTAGACACGGTTCCACCTTGTCTTATCATCCTTGACAATGAGAGTGTACCACTTCCCCCCCAAGCTCTGCACCCTAGCTTTTCCACTCAGATCCACGAAAACTCGCTGCAGTTTTTTAACTGCTCAGGTCGACGGCTTGTTGGGGATGGGCTTGAAAGCCCCTTCGTCGTCGAGCACCCCAGGCACTCCCGGAACTCGCCCACCAGCGTCGTCTCCTGCTGCTTCGCCGTGGTCCTCAGCAGCACCTCGTGGGAGTGGCCGTGCGCGCAGTGAAAATCGTTGATATCAACGGGGGGGCTGGACGCTTTCGCGTTGCCAGGAGCAATTGCAGCACAGGCATGTTCGGTGTGTNAACCCCCCCCCCCCCTCTCTTCAACTCCAACTCGTGTTTATTGAGCGTTTTTGTTTCGAACCCGTCGTCGAAGAAGGAAGTGAGAGGTACTAGGTTGTAGTCTAGTCGGGGAACGTGCGCAACTCGTTTCAACAACAGGTCGGTTGTACCGTCGCGCGAGCTAAGGGTTACCGTCACGTCGCCGTACCCCACGATAGGGAAGGTTTCTCCGGCGGCGACGCGCACACGTCGATCACACTCTTCGTAACGGACGAACCTATCTGAGTTTGCGAACATGTGGGTGGTCGCACCGGTATCGGCAACATACCTACCCCGCCTAGCCTGCTCTACACCCCCTCGACCAACGACTTTGTGACACTCGCCTGAGATGCCACCGACCACCAGCACCTCTTCTGTCACGTCCAGTAACGGTGGATTATACTTATTGAGAAAAAAAAAATTAATGAGAAAATGTTTGGGCAGGTTGGCGCACCAAAAGTGCCAAATAATTTACTTTCGCTCCAACGAAAAACATCCTCGGGCGTCTTCCAAATCGAACACACGCCCTTTCGCCCGAGCTAACACCATCGGCAACGCCGAAAATCACGATAGTTCCGCCGCCAAGGACCCCAAACCGCACCTGGTTCAACACCCCCACCCCCCCTACCCCCCGGGCAGACACAGATTTCTTACGAGTTCTTACGCGTGTTTTCCGGTCAATTTCGATAGATTCCCTGACGCACTAGCAAAAAAAAATAATCTGAGCACACGGCACTTTGAAGGTTATGTTACTATGATGGAAAGACCCACAACCCCTACGACAAGATTTGGGTACAGAGCTCGAAGCTGACAAATGTCGACCATCGTACGGCGCAAAACCGCTAGTACAAATCTTCTTGATCCCCAGAACGCCCCGGTCTCGACATCAATCTAGTCCCTGCTAGGCGCCAGGACTACTCTGAACCATAGCCGTCGTCATCGGACTCGTCTTCCTCAGAGTCCGCTTCCAGACCCGTCGTCGTCCGAGTCACTTGCTTCGCTCTCCGAGGACGACGAAGGTGCAGGCCGGCAAGTCTCCATCAGCACTTTCTTAATTCTCGCCGGGATGTTACCCGTTGAAGTTAGCGAACTGCAGCATGCGATAATGCGTGTGATAGGCTCGTCGCTGGCATCGGGCGTTCTGCGCTTCGCGCCGCTCGTTAGGATGAAATCCTTGCTGAAACGCGCCACGGCATAGTCCTCGACAGTCGCGCTGCCCGCTCCCGCCCTAACGGTATTGTTGATAGGCCCATACCAGTGGATGTTGACGTTCACCGGCGAGGCGTCTGCAGCTATGTTCAGCACCTCCCCCAGCACAAACGGAGCTTCCTCCGCCTTGAAGAAATGCGATGTCACCAACGCTGGGTGGTGTTAGCGACGTTGGACGCACTGGGGTTAAGGCCTTTCTCTTAGAGGGCTCTGACACCCTGTTCGCCCGAGAGTGTGTGTTGTCCACTCCGTCCGCGGTCGCGCCCGCAGAGGGAGGCAAAGGTGCTGGCGGGATCGCCGTGTGGAGCCATTCCATTGGGAGGTCGAAGTTGTTGATCGTTCCTCCGGAGCGCAACAACTTCAGCGAGTCGCTCTGCTCAGCCAATAGAGCGTCGACCACACCGTCAGGAGCTGCAGAGAAAGTGAGGTTCATGGAGAGACACGCAAGCGAGGGCGCGATGAGATGGCAGTATCAACGTTTACAAGAACGTAGATGTTGTGGGTCATGAGGTCTCCGAGACGAGAACAAGAAAAATCGTAAGATACTTAGACCAAACATCCCGCGAAAATGACTCGTTGTTATCCTCCGAGCGACCGTAGCTCCGAACGTGTTTTCTTCGTTGTCAGAATGGTTTAGGCAGGAAGGTAACGCCAATGTTACATTCGAAAGGTGTAACCACTCTCATGCTCTGTGGGGTGGAGCAAAGTACGACCATACTAAACATGTGCACGCCCCTTACCTAGTGCGTAAGCAGCCTCTAGGCGGGGCCGCGTCGCGATGTAGCGCTTCTCGATGAGGGCGATCACGGTGGGGTCGACCGTCTTGAGCTCGAAAGGAGGCACGTTGTCGAAAGTCGGCGCAGCGAACCGGAAGAGACGGTGTGGGTTGTCGTCGACCTGGGCCCCGCCGGTCGCTGTCAGACCAAGCCAGGCATCGCTGTGCATGAAGCGCTTGGCCCACACGGAAACCTCCCCTGCTACCTTCCCCACTCGGAAGGCCCGAAACGTGGTGATGTTCCGGATCTTCCGAAGGTTGAGCTTGTTGTCGTCGAGGTAGAGCCCCTTGAAGTTGCCGAGGTTGGTCAGAGTCCCTACGTGTACCGGAAGTTCCTTGTACGACTCCCGGAATAGCTCACCAAGTTGACTCCTCGTGAAGATGCTTCGACCGAGGGTACCCACGGAGAACCTGTAGGTTTGAGTGGGAGTCGTCAGGGCGAGGAGCTCAACCAGGACCACGAAGTAAGAAAAACCCCAATAAGATATTGCGAGCATGAACGCTCCACCACCATGGGAAAAGAAGTTAGGTAGAGCGAGTGTGAAAAAATTAAACGGCCGTTGAACTCCAGTACCCACCCCTACCCCTATATGTGGGTAAGAGTTTTTGTTGTATCGGGCATGGTTGGCTGTCTTGGATGTCAGACAAATACAGCGAGATGCAAGAACCCACCGCAGGTGGCTTCATTAGACTCAAGGGCGAATGGCGGCTGCAATGTGGACGTGGGCTACCTTTTTGGGGGTTGTTTACAAGGTAACCCTCAATATCCCGCAAGGCCCCGAGAAATAAGAACTGCCCAAATAAGCTCAGCAACGAGGCTTGGGCTTCGGCCGACAATAGGAAACTGAGGCTCGCCCCATATCTTACTTGCGGGCGCGTTCTGTAATGTGAATCTTGGGTTTCATGGGGGGGACGATATTGAATGCTGAAAAACCGGGGGGTACGCCCAGAAAGCGATCCTCCACCGGGGGGGAGGGCAGCAGGGTGGCCAAACAAGGGGCTCCGATGTTACAAGGGTACTCACCGAGAAAACACGTGGTCGATTTTGATGAGCGTGTGTCCAACGATCAGGAAGCAGACCTCTGCAGAAACGACCACCCCGGCGGCGACCAATCCGCCAATGAAGGCCAGGACGATGTTGTTCTTCTTTTCGCCGACGCAGTTATGGAGCTGAAGGTGGAGACGCTTGATGTAGAACCTCTGGCCAGGCTTGGCCCACATTGCAGACAGTCGTTTGAGGGCCAACCACAGCGCCGTGCACACCAGGTTGCTCCCTGGAAGACCAGACAACGACGAACACATGAAATATGAACGGACGGTTCAAGGGAATTATGGTCCCCACCAAGCCTGTATCGTTGGTCAAATAACCTACTGTTTCGTTAGTGATTCATCTGTGCACAATGGCTGGCTCAGGGACCTTGTGCGGTTCCGCCTGACACATCTTTTTGGCACTGACAGCTAGGTTGCACATATTCACGGCTCCCTTGGAATTTCAAAGTGGCCCATCGGGTGAACAACTGTGTACTTGAGGCCTTCCTGCGACACCCGCACATGACGTAACTGCCAGAAGGGGTGCCTTGGTGCAGGTTTAAACCTCTCACCTCCACCTGTTGTCTGCGGGACGAAATGGACGTCCACGAACGTCCCTTCTTCCTGGACGGCCATGACCTTCTTCCCCTCCGAAAAGCCGCTGAAGTCGTGAACGCGAACGGTTGTGCAGGAAGGCGATGATAAGATTGCAGTAGTTGTCACAATAAACAAGGTCCCGTATTTCCTATCCAGTACCTCCTTCTGTCACAATCTCTCTGCCATAATCCAGCATTGTTCGCGGTCAATTCCTGTGGTCACAGGCTAACGTGCATCAAAAGAGGTATCAGCTACAAGTATACGTCGTAGTACAACATAATGAACCCGAAAGGTCAGCACAGGGATAAGATAAGATAAAAGAACAAGAAGATGAAATAAAGAGCAAGTTTGGAGCCGTCCAACCTCCTCTACACGCGGTGAGGTGAAAATAGAAGGGAAAATAACTGGAACCCGTCAACATGATCAAAGTATGTCGACATATAGATGGATAACAACTAACTGAACAGATGGTGAGATGTTGGAGATGGGGTGGACTATACGGTAGACGTTTATCGACCCATTTTGATTGAGCTTACACGAATCGTGACACCGTTGCATTGGACCAAAATAACTTGTCAATGGCTGTAATTCCATCTGAATCGCAGCGTGCCACTACGAACTAAGGTACTGTTCTCGTGTCACGTACTTGTTTTGCCAAGAGACGACCGGAGTACAATCACGAGGGAACCAGATCACTTGCCTCTCAGACGCGTGAGTTTGAGGGTGGACGGTCCCTAACGCGTAGCGAATCTGGCAGGCACAGTCTTGTTGAATGGTCACTTGGTTTAGCGGGGTTCCGTTCGCCTGCTCTCGTCTGGCGGCCTCCATGCGTGACGTCAGGAGTTCTCTGTCCTTCGACACGATCTGCGTCGACGAACGTCGAGGATAAGGCACGTTCATGTAGCCGTCGTGCGGCTTTATGTTGGAAGAGTATCACAAACAATCCATTCCTACACGAACAGGGGAGAGACCACGACACAGGGTTCGCGTGACTCCGTAAGATAAACTTGGATAACGTTCAGGAGCTCTTCGACCTCATGTTGGATCGCCACGGGCCCCTGTGGCGGACGTGAACCAAAACATATCATGTTCTAATCACATCCCGAGCGGTCGCGAAAAAGGAGAATGTCCGCTACCACCGGCGGCGAGCGCGGTGAGGGCGTCTACTGGACAACGGAGGCGTCGGTGTTTCCACGCCGCGCAGGGGAGAGACGGAAGAGTCAAGAGGAGGAAAGCTAGCGTAGGCGCCAGCCTGTGCAAGCGGCCTATCATGAACGACGCCAAACACATCAACACCATGACCATGGGTTGCTCATCAA